AGTACTTGCATGAGTTTTGATACCTTATGTAAGAAAGTAATTAAACAAATTTTGATCCACATTAGACTTTCAGGAAAGGCAGTTTATAAAGTACTCCAAATGGGCATTAGGACATGATTAAGTGTGTGATTTTGCAACACTGCAGTTTGTCATAAAGAAGTTTTGATGGGGGTGGATTGGATGGGAAGTAAATGGTGCCCAGGCTGACTGACAGTGCACTGTACCAGCAAATCAAAGGTTCTGGTAGCTGTGGATTTCCTGCATTCCCTGCCCCCTCATCACACACCCATTTCAAACATGTTAATCTGTTTCTTAATGGAAATGGGCTTTGTAGGAGTAGAAATTTCTTTAAATTTTCTTTTCTTCTTTAAATACAAATTATCTTAGATCATCATCTTTTGGGTAAGTGATACATAAATTCTTCAATTACACTTTCTCTTTCTCTTCTTTTTCTCTTTGTTCTGCTTTATTTTATTATTTAATTTACATACCACTTTTTAAAAAATTCTCTGAATATTTGAAAGGTACTAGGGGTCAAGAATTGAAAGATGTATGAAACAAAGATGCGTGAATGCAATATCCCCTCCCACAACCTATGTGAGCTCTCCACGTGCAGGAGGGGCCTCATTTTCAGCTTTGCCAACATAACATGAGTTTATTATTATTTTCCCAATGTAACTGTAACAGCACTCACTTTGACTTTCAGAAGTTTCCCAACTGGAAAAATAAAGCATGTGTTCACCCCAAATACTGGAACTATGGTGGTCAGAAACTTGCTTTAGCTGATAGCCTTTCCACCAATGCTTTTACCGCTCTCTCTCATTTCAGTCTCAAAAGATTTGTCCACAAGTTAGTTCAAGCAAAAGACTTCAGAAATATTAAAATTTCAGTGTTAAATGGGAAATTTCCTCTTCAGTAAGAGTTAAGAATTTATCTCTAAAGCTGTCCCTGAACATAAAAATATGTTCCCTATTTGGACTTTAGAGATTTAATCAGGCTTTTCTTTTTTAGAAAAAAAAATAATGAGTAATGATATTAAAACATCTATTTTATTATTACAGTTTTAGTTGTTATTTTCTAATTTTCTTAAACATATTAATTGCTTGTGGATGCATAACATTTTTATTCATGTTTTGTTTCCATTTTTTTCCAAGTTGAAAGAAATCAGATGACAGAAAACCAAGTGGGTCACCAGAACCCATTTTTACTCTTTTTTTTTAAATAAAAAAATTTACATTAAGAAGTTTAAAAAGTGAGAATAGGTAATATAAGGCTTTCAAAAGTTTCTCTCTTCTGGATTAAACAGTTTTCTTTTTAATTTGAGCAATATTAGATATTTGAAATAGTTTTGAAACATTTCTGATTAGGTCTTTAGACATCTGCTTTTAAAAACACACACTTCAAAGAAGTTACAATGAATATGACATCAACTGACATTACGTGGTAGCAAGGGAGCAACACTTACTTTCAAAAGTATGTCTACTTGCTAATTATCCATAAACACTGAAGACAGAGTTTACCTTACTACTGCAGGTTTAATCAGTCTGTTTCCTAATGTGAAATGCTGTCTCCACACAACTGTTTAATGCACAACAAGAAAGCAAGTATAATTTAGATCCTCCTTAGAAGGATGATTCTATTCAGCATAGCGTGTAGCTTCCTGGGTTTATGATTCATTACTTTTCATTTGTCTAATTTTACTGGTTAAATATTGTCATCTATAATTTTGAAAGTGGGATGCATAGGGACAATAAAATCACTGACCAAAAATATAGTGTTAAAATAAACATGTCCATATCACTATTGACTTGTACAATTAATTAGCAAGAATAATCATAAAAGTTTTACCGAGCTTGCAAGAAGCACAAATGGGGTCATATTTACTAACAGCTTTTCTAGGGGTGCATTTATTTCTAGAAAACTCCTCAAAAAGGAACAATATGGAAAGAATAGTTGTTTATCCAACATTACAAGGAATAAGGAAGACGCAGGCACATATCTTCTATTTTCCTCTTGAATGTCAAAGAAAAAAATGATTTTTACCATGTATATTGTATATTTCATAAAATGAATGTGGTTATAGATTTAATGAGTTTATACTTTAACATAAAAATATAAGATATGTCCTATTTTTGTAAGTAAGTCATTCTATTTACCACATTACATATATTGGAAGGAGCATTTTTCTTCCTTTTCATTCATTCATTCATTCTTTCTAAGTGTCTACCCACATGTACAATGAGATTCTGGTAGAATTTTCTATGTGACTTTTGGTTACTGTCCTGCAGAATCTCATTGTTAATTGCTCAGCACACTATCTGTCATTTCAGTTCTTTCAATGTAGGAAAAAAGTAAACCATACTCATCTCAAAGATATGCTTGGGGAAATGAGCTTCACCATTCAGTAAGGTTATTTAATTTTTGAAACAGTAATTAACTTTTAAAATACAGTTGTCCTCACTTGGCATGGTACAGCATGTATGTTTCGGCTAACACCATATGTTTAAATAACACCTGGTCCCCAAACAACTCATTTCAAATTTTAGTTACCACAGCACATTACTGTAATTATGTAAAGTATAAACTTTGCTTCTAGTTCTTCAGTCTACAAATCACTACATACATAACAAATGGGTATTCTGATCAGTGACTGATCCCGTAATTTTTTATAGGGGAATAAATTATATATTTGGCACCCTCAAAAAGCCTTAAGCCTTAAGCCTTGTTGGCATAAGGCTTATTTTAGGCTGATCATGTTTAAGAAACAGAAGATTCAGGGCATTTTTCTGTGTCTCTCATAACCGCCTAAAAGAGTTTAGATAGTGAGTCTGTATCAGAAAGAGATCTATTACCTGAGATAACTTCTTTTTATATCGGAAAGACTTCTCTGCATGGTATGGCAAACATTTGTTTTCCAAACATTTGCTCATCTCATCTTCCTGTAAATGTTCTTCTCTTTCAAGCCCCAGACCCACAGCCCCTTCTCCTTTGCTGGGGATAACATACAGGTCTCCATTGCCCGACTGTCTGGGACCCTCAAATCTGTGGGACGCCTCTACATACGAAATTAGTCTTTTCTTGTTAACTAGTCTTATGTTAATTTGATTATCTGACCAGTTGAAGATCCTAGAAGGGGAAAAGAAAACTTTATTCCTCCCTTAGCCTTTCAAAGTCTGTTGGTGAGAGGCCACTGCACATTTGTTATTCAGCTCATGCACAGACAGCAGAACATGTGGTTATGTTGCCTCATATCCCAGAGACCGTGAGATACTATAGGCAAAATAATTTAACTCTTCCAGTACTGCTGCTGCCAAATAATGCTTCAGGTCACCTTGATTCTCTTTGGGACTTGAGTTAAAATGCAAACATTTCATTTTTACTGTCAAATTTAACTTTATAAATCCAGTTAATAGATTAAGAATTTATTTCAACTTTTAATGCCTATTATTACAGACAGACTTTTGGACAGGCTATTGATAATAACAGATCATGCCATTTCTTTAGGTAAAATTTAGGAAAAAATATGACAGGGCATGCAACGAAGCAATATGCCAATATTACTGCAAGAACATTTATTATATCATGAAAGTAACTGCAGGTTTTCAATAAAATATACACAGAGTTTTAGAGGAAATAGCTGGTTGTAAGAATGTAGACATAGTGGATATTTGGGAGACACTGGAAATGCATCCAGGTGAGCTTAGTGGAGGTAAACTTACTGACATAAATGATGAAAGAAAAGGGTTATGATGAACAAGATGACGATACCCCAGAAATGTGCACAAAAAGTTAACAGTAAAGCAATTCTTGGAGATATTTTATGATATCAAAAAAAACCCCCACAAAGGACAAAATATTAAACGTGGATCCCAACTTAGAAAGATATGTGAAAGATGCTCATTCTATTTTGTAAGTTATACAACAACGAGGCAAACACTGTGTAAACTACTATTGATATGCATTTAGTATAAAGTTGCAAAACACCATTCTCAAGGTCCCTAACATTTTAAATTACAGCTTATGAAATAAAATGTAATTTTACTATCTTTTATTTCTGTATACATTTATAACTGACAAATTTTAAGTTTTGCCAAAAATATTTATTAAAGGTAAAACAGTAATAATTTTCCCACCTGCTATAAAAATTACTTTGCAGTCTTTTATCTTGCACTGTCATTTTTAATTTCATACACTCCCTGTGCAAAACAAAAATTTCCTGCATTTGTATTATTTAAAATAAAAACAGTAGTTGTACCCTGGCCAGTGCGGTTCATTTGGTCGGGCATCATCTGGCAAAGGGGAAGGTCGCAGGTTTGATTCCTGGTTCGGGCACATGTGAGAGGCAACTGAGCAATATTTTCTCTCACACATTGATGCTGCCCTCCTCCTTTCTCCTTCGCTTCCCCTTTCTCTAAAAATAAATAGATCTTTAAAAAAGTAGTCGTGACTCAATATAAAAGTTTAGTTTTTAGTTATATTTATTTTTTAAATACTTTTTCCTCATTCTTCTTCAAAATTATTTTTTGACAGAGAATAGGCTACGCATATTGTCTTAACCACATAAAGCATAGACAAATAATATGAATTGAAACTGAGTTTTTAAAAATTCTAACTGATGAGCAATAAAATCTTTTCTGAGAAACTAAAAGCTAGTGGGCCAAAGTTTCCTGATAGCGAGAGAAGTAGAAGAACTCAGCATGGGCTGAGGTCTCCTAAATCATCCTAAACTGATGTAGCTCATTCATCCTCTACATAGTGCCTTTCAACATAACTTTCTGCAATTCTGGAAATATTTTGTCTGCATGTTGTGCAATATAGTAGATACTGGTCAATATATATTGAAATCTGGTTATGGTGATGGAGACACTAAATTTTTAATTTTACTTAATTTTAATTAATTAAAATTTTTATAGCTACATGTAGCCAGTGACTACCACACAGCACAGCACTAATATATTCTACAGAAAGAATTAATATAAATAATACTTCTTTCCTTACATGTTTAATATTATTTATCTTCAATTTTTACTTGATGGGCCACTAGGCTGAATATAAACTCCTGGAATTATACTTGCTTTTACTAAAATTGTTGCCAAACCAGCAACAGTAAGTAAAGGACTCAGGGTTACTGGTCTTCATACTATCTCTAGCCAATTCATTTGTCTTGCCTTTACAAAAAAAAAAGTTTCATTATGGATGAGAGTGCACTACCATAAATTTAACCAAGTGGTAGCTTAATATCCACAGCTTCTGAGCATATGGAATATCTTTAGTGGAGCAGGTCAGTACACCCTCTGTTCTTTAATGGGAGCACATAGAGTTAGCAAATGTGATCTCAAGTGCAGTCTCGAACTGCATGGAAAGGACAGTGGATGTGTTCACTGCAAGGTCCCAGAACTATAATATCTCCCGATTTTTATTGTAGTTCAGAAAGATGTTCATCATCTTAATGTTCCTTAGAACATCAATAGAAAAGGAGATAGGACTTTGAGGAGAGATGAGGAAATGGGTAATCTGGAAGAGAAGGAAAGAGTAAATTGACTACAGGAAAAAGAAAGGATTGCTGAGTAGTGATCAACTTGAAGATTCCATTATAATTTTGATTTAAGTCTTTAGAATCAACTTGGGTTTGTTTTTCCAGCCATAGTCATTGGTGGGGGTCCAGGCAAAGAGGTAGGGTTGGATTACATAAACGCAGTGAAGAATGAGCTAAATATAGGCTTTTGTACTCAATTATAGCATTCAATACCACATTTTAATTCTCCTACTATTGTTAATCTCCCCTACTTTCCTCTACAATAATCTATACATAGCAGAAATGATGAGAGGTGCCATTTCTTAGTGTAACTGTTTCCAAGTGTCTGTTGAGTTTGCTTAGCCCAGGAATGCCTTCTATGATGCTAGGGGATGTTTCATGGTCTATTGCAAATCTGAGCTAAATACGGATGATTCGAGGCTAAGCTGTGCCTTGAAGGCAACTTGGAAGGCAAGAACCCCCGCCACGGTTTTTGGTCTTTCATCAGATCTTTCCCATGTAAAGGTACCTTTTGTCTTTCAGCTTTCGTAGCTCAGTGAAATGGGAGAAAGTTTAATTTATCCTCACTACCTGTGGCTTACATTAATTAATAAAATATTTAATAAAAGCAATGCTTTGAGAATTCCCCATGGCATTATTAAAAACAAATGTTTATTATAAAATGATGTCATATTCAATGTGTCGTTTTTCTTATAAATTATTTGGCTCCAGAGAAAAATCACTTTTTAATAACCACAGGGATAAGGCTCCAGCATAATTGTTGGAATGTTGTATTAATCTTAACTCATGGCAAAATGTGTTACATGTTATATCCAACAAATTAGAGTAATTTGAAGTATATATTCAGAGTAGTTTATATTTTTGTTTGTTTATATAACATATGTATATACTAAATAAATTTTAACCAGAACATAACATTTAAACAAAACAATCTTTGATTTCTTACATTTCATCATGCTACTTATAATCTTTTAACATAAAAGAAATTTGAGGGAAACATATGTAGACTTTTTTGGTTAACAAGCTTCAAAAAGGAAGAATTTTTGTTTTTATAAAATAAGAGATTTTGAAATATTCAACATGATCAAAGTAACAATATGTACATTTTAAATATCTTTATTTGAGAATTCCATATTAAGCAAGGAGTCTCATTTAACTAAATAGACATCACCAAAGTTAATAATACTGTATCTTTTTAAAATTTGTAAATATACATATATCAAAATTTAACCATTTTAACTCTTTTAAGTGTATATTTCAGTGGCATTAAATGCATTCACATTGTTGTGTGTTTATCACCATGATCGAACTCCAGAACATTTATCTTCCAAAACTGAAACTTTGTACCATTTAAACAATAACTCTTCATTCTCCCACCCTTTCTCCCCAGAACCTGGAAAGCACCAGTCTGTTTTTTCTCCCTATGGTTTTGAATACTATAAGTACCTCATGTAAGTGGAATTATATAGCATTTATCCTTTTGTGCCTCACTTATTTCGTTTAGCATAATGTCCTCAACTAGCATGTGTAAGAACTTCCTTCCTTTTTATAGCTAAATCATATTCCCCTGTGTGTACTGTATATACCATGTTTTGTTTGTACAGTCATCTGTCGATGGACACTTAGATTACTTTCACTTTTTGGCTATTGTGAATACTGCTGTTATGAATGTGGGTGTATAATTATCTGTATAATCTGTATTATACAGATTATCTGTATAATTATCTGTATAATCATAATTACCTGCTTTAAATTCTTTTAACTATATACTCAGAAGTGAAATTGTTGGATCAAATAACTCTGTTTAATTTTATGAAGAATTAGCAACCATTTTCTATAGCAGCTGCACTAGTTCAGATTCCAATTTCTTCACATCCTGACCAACAATTGATATTTTTTCCTCATTAACACATTGAGTGTTAAATGCATCTCACTGTGGTTTTGATTTGTATTTCCATAGCTAGTGATGTTGGTCATCTTTTCATGTGCACATTGGCCATTTGTGCGTTTGTCTGTAGTTCTGTCCAGGAAAAGTCCAGCCATCATTAATATAACAAGAACGGTTTGTGTGACATTGATGTGACCTGGCAGCCAAGAGAGTGGACTGAAATGTACATGGGTGAACAATGACAAATACACTGTACTAGCCGCTAGGGGGCAGTAGATGCTGTTGAGTTAGCATGTGTACTGTGTGGCCATTGCATAAAAATGACTAAACAAGTAGAACAGGAATCTGCATTCAATTTTGTGTTAAGTTTGAATGTTCTTCTGAGGAAACTCTTTGGATGATTCAGAAGGGCCACAGGTATGGGCAACTGGTGATTGGCAGCTTCATCACTACAAGGCCCCCCATTCAGGCATCATGTCTTGTGAAGCATTTTTTGGAGAAACATCAAATTATCCTGGTGACTCAGCCCCACTACAGCGCAGATTTGGACCCTAGGACTTCTGGCTTTTCCCCACACTAAAATCACCTTTGAAAAGGAAGAGATTTCAGACAGTCAGTGAGATTCAGGAAAATAAGATGGGCAGTTCATGGTGATTGGGAGAACTGTGTGAAGTCCCAAGATGCCTACTCTGAAGGGGACTGGGGCATCATTGTCCTATGTACAATGTTTCTTGTATCTTGTGTCTCCTTCAATAAATGGCTCTATTTTTCATAGTGTATAGCTGGATAATTTCTGGATAGAATATAATGAATATAAAAATTTTTTTGAGAAATGCCAAATCAATCATTTGCACATTTTAAGTCATATTTTGTGAGTTTTATTTCATTATATATATCCTAGATATTAATTCCTTGTTTGATGCATGATTTGAAACTGTTTTCTAACATTCTGTGGATTGACTTTTCACTCTCTTGATAGTATCTTTTAATGCACAGAAGTGTCTTTTTAAAAATCTATTTTATTGATTATGCTATTACAGTTGTCCCATTTCCCCTCCTTCATTCCCCTCCACCCTGCACACCCTCTCCCACCCACATTCCCCCCTTTAGTTAATGTCCATGTGTCATAAGTTGTTTAGCTTCTACATTTCCCATACAATTTTGCCTTCCCCCTACTTTCTACCTACCACTAGGCTACTCATTCTCTGTACCTTTTCCCCCTCTCTCCTCTTCCCACTCACCTGTTGCACAGAAGTTTCTTTTTTAAAAATAATATATTTTGAAACTTTTTTAACATTGAAAATAATTTAAAAATAAAGTTTAAAGCTAGTTATAGCTCTGGTATTGCTCTGCATTATTAAAGTTAAGAAGTTTTGTTGATTAGGGGAATTTAAGCAAAAATAACACAAGTTTATGCTTTATCATTACCCATCCTGTGAAGATGGGTAGTGATACCTGGCTTCATTGAATTTTCTCATTAAAATAAAAATATCAGCAAGTTAAATATGTTTGGATCATGCTGTTTGTTGTTTTTTAATGGGACTATATTGAAGTAAGAATAGAAAAATAAATGAATTAAAGTACAATCAATGAAATAATTTGTGACTCTTAACAATGCAATATTTTTTCTTTACTATGAGCACCAATGATAACCAAAGATTACAACCAAAATGTCAAATAAAATGGATGGGACCTTAACTGTTTTCTACCCCAGGACATTTATACTTGATCCTCTACCAGAAATACTGTTCTTGCATAGCCTTGCCTACTTGCTTGGACTCAGCCTTCAGAACTTAGATCCAAGATCATCTTTTACAAAGATCTCCACTTATTTAGCTGAATAAAAAAGCCCCACTTCCATCTTGTATCCCTCTTTACCTCGGTAAGATCCCGACTAGCGTTACTTAGCAGCACGGCACCAACAATCACCTGAAGTTACCTGTGCATGTGTTTCCTCAGCCATCATCTCCTCTTCACACTCCCACTAAGTGAACCTTCCATGAAGGACCTTGCCTGTATCGTTTACCTGGATCCTCAGTACCTAGAATAGCAGGTAATGAATAAAATATTCGCAGAGAAATGAAATGAGGTTTATGCTAAGGTTTCAATGAAATCATGTCTTTCCCTCAAATTATTGAAGTTATATGAGTTTTTCATTAATTACACAATCAGACAGGAACCTTGATTATACATGCACCTTTTTTAATGAGAGCTATTTATGGGCATATTCCTTGGTAATTATGGAAAGTGCATTGTCCATGTCTTATCTTTCAGGTGAATGGATATCGTGCAATTAGTTGTATCTCAGAGTCCAGGCAAGATATTTACTCTATTTACTTTCATTTAGATCTCTTGTCCACAGAAAATGTATCTTTCTCTCTGATATTGGGAAAAAATAGCTTGTAATTTCCTAAGCTTTCAAGAGCACTTTCTCCATCCTAGTTTCTTAACTCAGAAACACTCAGCAGTAAATCAGTCACAATTTCTAAGAACTGCATATGAAACACAAATGAGACATTTAATTGCATGGTAGCATTTTACAAATTCCATGCAGTACTATTTTTAACATTACTTGGAAACCTGATGATTTAAAGAAATTAGGTATTAATTTGAATTCTTTTTTTTCAAGTCTCTTAAGAGTTACACGTATATTAATAATTAGCCTTTTTTAATAACATTATTATAGAAAGCTGCTGCTTTTAATACATCCCACAGCATATCAGTTTAAGGGAAAATTCTGGCTGCTATTATTCATCTGCTTAGACATTATTAAGATCTTTTTTCAATTTCTTGTTAAGAAACACCTCAGGTTCTTCTTTTCTTTAAGCACTGTTTCATTTCAGCAGAATGATGCATTGGAAACAATCTTAACCCAGCTTGAAGTACTAAATACCAGAGTGATTATTGAACGATGGAGTGTTTCCATTACTTTTTGTCTCACAGATGTTTTTTTTTTGTATTATTAATTTTTTAGTGCCAACAGAGTATTGCAATATTCTAAAGTGCAACCCCTTTCTCAGGTGAGTCTCATAAATCTCATGGCCACTGTAGTAGGAAAGCAAGGGGCTATTATAATTGCAGATATTTCTGGTCCAAAAGCAAATATCTTTTATAGGATCGATTTTCACTGTTGTGATTATATAAAGGGGACATTTCAGAAAAAAAATATATGTTATAGCATGGTCGGCTCTGGATAAGCAGTCTGCAAATGCTGGTTCTCACTGAACCTGGGTCACCGGCTTGCCACGTGAACTTCGACATCCCAATGTCTTCCAGTGGAGATTCACATTTAAAAGTCAATATTTTGCTAATAGCACCTTCTAATTTATATGATGATATTAAGTATATCAATACACTAAGATTTTTTCAAAAATGGAAAACAATATTTTCCATAAAAGAAAACCATGACTTTCTAGAAAGACTCATCGAGATACTGATATTTCTGACTGAAGTTAGGACAATCCTGTCAAGTTTCCTGGAGATTCTTTTAAAAAAGATAATTGAGAAGAGAGAGTAATTATCAAGTTAGCATTGTAATTTGGGGCTTCTCAAAATCAGATGTCCTGAGTTGATAATAATTTGGATATTGATCATGAGAAGCAGTAGTTTTATGCACCCCAAACACTGATGCCTAAAGATTGAAAAATCATTTTCTACTACAAATAAAAGCTTTCACAAATAAAAATCAGTATTCTTGGAAGTATCCTGGAAAGGTAGCCTCAGGATGATCTACCAAAAATGATTAATAATAGCTAATAATATTGCCAACTTACTATACATGCATTTCTAAGTATAAGAGATGATAGCTACTGGCAATACCATCAGTGGTTATGTGTCCACAACCATTTTTGGTGTGGAATTATCGGGGCCTGGAATTATTTGTGCAGGTAGTCCGTTAGCAGAAACTATTCAGTAAGGTTTTGACACAATTTATGAAAGCAGACAACAAGCAAATAATTTACTAGTTAATCTTTCCCAGATAAAAAATTACATTATTTAACTTACAAATCGTATTTAACTCTCCATTCTTTAATTCAGAATAGAAAATTCATGCTTAATAAATGTATTTTATTGAAGTAAAATGAATCTGCTTTGATTAAAATAGACTAAAATATTTGGGATAGTACATATTTTTAAAAGCTCATAGTTTTGTTTGCAAAACTATCATGCAAACAATTATTTGATATGTACTTTAAAAAATATTTATGAACTGCATTACATTAGATACAGATATTTTAAATTTCATACATTGGCCCTTTAAAATTTTGCAAATTATTTTATTTCATATTCATTTTCATCATTAACAAAATTTTATTCACTAGAGTATAGTTACTATAAGTGGTGATATTTAAATGCTTTATCTTTTTTATCCCTTTTAGGCAGTCATTGAGTAACAGAAATTTGCAGTGAAAATGGTTTTAGTACACTATTATTAAGGACTTCAAAACATAAATCTATTAGATATTTTCATAAGAATTTAAAGTTTTATATTATAAGAACCTATCAGAATGGTAGAGCAATACAGAGAAATAAATTTTTAATTATAAAATAATATGAAGTACTCATGAATAAATAGAAAAGTGCCTGAACACCATAAAAATAACATAAATTTGCTGGAAAAGCGTAACAGCATGGAAAACCATATTTGCACATCAGTTATGAAACTGTCATTTTTATTATTTATTTTATTAACAGTACTTTGGTACTATTACCTTCGTAGTTATTATGTCAGTTGTTAATTTTCTCTTTTAAAAATGTGCTCAAATTAATAAATGAATTAAACTTTAAGTGCTGTCATTACATTAAACATATATAATTACCTAAGTTAACTTGAATCCTTCCCCTTCTTGAGTTGTATTTTTTGCCTATAAATGAAATATCTTCATCACACTGCACCAACATGCAGAAAGAAAAATGATATATAGTATAGTTTCTGATAACTATTTAAACAATTATTGTTTTTAGAATCCCCAGCTCCAAATTTGTTTTTAAATAAGTTTATTTCTATATATAATATTTTTATCTATAAAAGTATAAAGAACTTTATTATATAATTTTTGTGGATTTTTCTATTTTATTTAATTGTTAGTTTGTTGTTTTCCATTACTCTTTAGTCCCCTTATACCTCCCTCCTCCCAACACTTCTGTCCATGTCCTTGAGTCCATTTTTTTTTGCTTAACTCCTCCACCCCTAACCCATCCCCCACTAGCCTATCTGCTCTCCTTTTATGAGTCTGTCCCCATTTTCCTTGCTAGTTCAGTTTCTTTATTAGATTCTATGTATGAGTGAAATCATACGATATTTGTCTTTTTCTGGCTGGCTTATTTTACTTAGCATAATATTCTCCAGATCCATCTATATACTGTTACATAAGATAAAGTTCTCTCCTTTTTCACAACTGAGTAGTATTCCATTGGGTACATGTCCCATAGTTGTTTTACTCACTCATCTGTTGGACAACTGGGCTGCTTCCATATGTTGGTGATTGTAAATAATGATGCAGTGAACATAGGGGTGCTTATGTTCTTTTGAATCAGTGTTTTACATTCCTTCAGATATATTCCCAGAAGTGAAATTGCTGGGTCATAAGGCAGATCCATTTTTAATTTTTTGAGGTATCTCCATATAGCTTTCCACAGTGGCTGCAACAGTCTGTATTCCCATCAACAGTGCAGAAGGGTTCCCTTTCTCCACATCCTCTCCAGCACTTGCTGTTTGTTGATTTATTGATGATAGTCATTCTGACAGGTGTGGGATGGTATCTCATTGTGGTTTTAATTTGCATTTCTCTGAAGATTAGTGACATTGAGCATCATCTCTTCATGTGTCTATTGACCAAAGTTATGTCCTCTTTGGAGAAGTGTCTATTCAGGTCCTTTGCTCATTCTTTAACTGGGCTGTCAGTTTTTATGATGTTGAGTTTTGTAAGTACTTTTAAATTTTGGATATAGACCCCTTATCAGATGTATTAGTAAATATGTTCGCCCATTCTGTGGGCTGTCTTTTTATTTTGTTGATGAATTTCTTTGCTGTGCAAAAGTTTAGTTTGATGTAGTCCCAATTATTTTTTTTCTTTTGTTGCCCTTGCCTGGGGAGATATATCCCATAAAATATGGCTACAAGCATGCCCAGCTGGTGTGCCTCAGTGGACTAAGTGCCAGCCTGCCAACCAAAGTGTCATCGGTTTGATTCCCAGTCAGGGCATGTGCCTGGATTGCAGGTCAGGTCCCCATTTGGGGGGGGTGTGAGAGGCAACCACACTTTGGTGTTTCTCCCTCCCTTCTCCTCTCTAAAAATAAAAAAAGTAAAATCTTAAAAATATATATTGCTATGAGCAATGTACATGATCTTACTGCCTATGTTTTCTTCTAGGATTGTTATGGTCTGTGGTCTAACATTTCAGCCTTTGATCCATTTTGAATTTATTCTTGTGGGCGGTGTAAGAAGGTGGTCTAGTATCATTTTTTTCTTCGTGTATCTAATTTTCCCAACACCATTTGTTGAATGAACTCTCTTCAGCGCATTGCATGTGCTTGCTTCCTGTGTCAAGTATCAGTCAACTGTAAAGGTGTGAGTTTATTTATGGGCTCTCTATTCTGTGCCATTGATCTATGTGTCTGTTTTTTATGTCAGTACCATGCTATTTGGGTTACTGTGGCCTTATAATAAGTTTCATATTAGGTAGCATGATTCCTCCAATTTTGGTCTTCTTTCTCAGGATCATGGTTGCTATTCGGGGCGTTTTGTGGTTCCATATAAATATTTGAAATATTTGTTCTAGTTCTGTGAAATATGTCTTTGGTAGCTTGCTAGGAATTGCATTGAATTTATAGATTGCTTTGGGTAATATGGACATTTTAATGATGTTAATTCTTCATATCCATGAACACAGTATGTGATTCCACTTATTTGTATCTTCTTCAGTGTCTTTCTTCAATGCTTTATAATTTTCTGAGTACACTTCTTTTATATACCTGATTAGATTTATTCCTATGTATTTTATTCTTTTTGAAGCAATTGTGAATGGGATTGTTTTCTTA